CAAAGAATGTATTGGGGTTAGGGTTTTAAGATTGGCTTCTAGTGCTAAGACCAGCTTGCGTAGAGGATCCGATGCTGACTGCCAGCATGCGTTTCGGGCTTTGTTGAATGATTTCCCCTCTATCTTTCCTCAGTTTCCATTTTCGTATGTCTACTTTTAGATGTTCTACTGTTTGGTTTTTAATGAGGGTATTTTTTCACCATTTGGTACTTTGGTCAAATTAAAAAGGACTTTGGTTCGACAACTGCCTGTGACTAGACTAGTCTTGTGGAAAACTCAAGCCCTCGCGCCCTCAGCCCTCCCCCCCTCATACTTATAGGGCGAGTATTTATAGGGGCATGGTGGATCTCGGTAATAGCCAGGCGTAGTTAAGTGAATTAACGAATTAAATCGCGGGCACTTGTTAGAGCATAATTTGTTTTTTTTTCAAAATACCGAATGTAATAATGTACCATCAATATTTGCCTAATCGGGATAGTGCCAGCTCAAGTTTGTTTGACTTCTTCCCAAAGCATACTCCTTGTCAATCACAAAGGGGAATTCAGGCTCGTTGTCGACTTGACGAACCTAGAATCTATAAATATGACTGAGTATCAACTTCACGGACTCCGATCATGGCCGCTCCCTCTCCGACCAGTTGGACTTCTTCGGTAAATTCTTTCCAGCAGTGTCACTCCGCTGGACATCCCTCCCTTGTCGTCCACGCCATTTCAAAGAAATCGTCTAACGGAAGTACACAGTCTTGCCCTCGGACAATCCTGAAGGCCATGATCATATCCCCAATGTACTGTCTATAAGAGAGAGGGAATGTTTTTTGCTTTTCCAGGCGTCTCTCATAAGATAAGTTCCTTAATCCGCCGACTAGCTTGGTCGCTCTACGTTGTACGTTCTCTAGTAGGGTGTAATCTTTTTTCGTTCAGGGACACCATGTCTGGACACAATATTCCAACATTGGTCGAACGTATGCTCCAAATACTCGGCCGAAAAGTTCTTCGTCAAAATTGGGGAAGGATATTCTAATCGCGCCTAAGATACCTATAGCTTTCTTTAATACCTTGGCGCAGTGAGACGATGGTTTGAGAATTGACGTCATCCACACACGGAGGTCTCTTAACTCGTTGGCTGATTCGAGTTGCTGACCTCCTGTAGAGTACTGAGATTCAAATCTCAACGGTCTCCTGTTACTCGAACGTAATCGGATAAGCTGGCATTTGTCACGATTGAGGCTAAGACACCACTCATCACACCATCGTTGCAAACGATTCAGATTGTCTTGTAACTGTACAGAGTCTTCCGGCCTCTCTATTTATTTCCACAATTTGAGATCATCGGCAAACATTACGCGCTCACAGTTCAGGCAGTCCAGACAGTCGTTCACATATATTGAGAACAGAATTGGTCCCAGAACGCTTCCCTGCGGAACGCCACTGTGCACGGATGCCAATTCCGATTTAGCGTTTCCGATACACACACGCTGAGACCTACCCGTAAGAAAATCGCCTAGTCATTTCAACAAGAGAATAAGGCTTTCGTCCCTGGGATCCTTATACAAAGCATAAGATGGCCTACAATCAATTGTTACACCAGTGATTCTGGAAATTCGAAAGTCATCGGCATGTGCGAGCCAGGCGCATACTCCTGCCACTGACACAATCGTGATCATTTGTACAATAGTTTCTTAGAAATGAGTGTCTGGTTTGAAATAAAATGTTTCAACAGTTCATAAAATGATCACCGCGTCAGGAAGTCCGTTCCATGATCCGACGACCTGCTGCGAGATGGCATTCCGTCGGACTAAGGTATGGTGTAAATTCGTCTGCTGTTTAAAGCGGTGACCACTCAGGCGGTCCGTCCCAGCGATTCAAAGAATTCTTCAAAATCTAGGGCACACTCACGGCCTTTGACAATGCAGTAGTTTTAAATAAGGTCGTGCGCAGTTAGCTGAAATTGAGGAGACAAAGGCACACTTCAGAGAGCCTGGTATCTTAAGACAGATGACCTAAATTCTTGACGATCTTCGTAGCCGTCTCCAGTTGTTGATAAGCCTTCCTGAACTACGGTCGTCAGACCTGGGCGGCACACTTTCAGTGAAACCGAATGTATGCCCGTAGGTTTTTCCGAACAGCTTGTTATAGATCTGCTTATATCCTCTCCTCAGCGCGAATAACGCTCGTTTGACTGCCCTTGACACTGGCGATGGTTTAATGGAGGAAGTCATAAGGATACTGGAGTCTTATTGTTCATCAACATTTGAAAGAGGCCGGCCGTCAAGGAGTTATCGAAAGGAATCATCTTCTTCATTGGTCCTTCTGGTATGCAGTCAAGGAATACGTATTTGCCCACATTTGAAGTTAGGAGTCGACGAGCAGACCAGTTGCCAAGTCGGTTAAGACACCCTCGAAGTACGTCCCTATTTGTGTCAGATCTGATGGCTCTCTACAGTTAAACGTATTCAACAAACACGACAGCGCTGTATTCTAGGTTGTGGACACAGACGTTGATATAGACTAGGATCAGCAACGGTCATAAGACTGAGCTCTGGAGTACACCACTTAGAACACGGAAGAGGGTGACTTTGAGGCATCAACTCACACGGTTTGCGATCTCCCTGTAAGAAAGTCTACGATCCATCTCAGCAGCTTGCCTCATATTTAGAATTAGCACAGTTTGCGAATGAGGCATTTTTGCGATGCGTATTCGAACGTCTTCTGGAAACCAGTGTGAGTGACGCCAACCCCACCACCCTCGTCCAGTGTGCGGGTCCACTGCTCAGTCGAAAGTAGCAGCTAGGATTGGAAAGGACAGTTCTGCCTAAAGCCTTATTGGGGCTCTGAAGGTAAGAAGTGTTTTCCAGGAACTTCATGGTCACCTCTTTAAGTATGGTTTACATTAGTTTACAGCAGATGATGGCGAGCTGAGAATCGCTGACTTTATTTCGAGCCCCATCCCTTCATGTCGGATATGCATTTGCTGTCTTCTATTCGCATGTCAATCCCCCTTATTCAAGTGACGATTGGATAAGATGCGTTGATGCCTTGGAGAATCTGTTCGCCAATTGCATCCAGAACTTTGCCGGTATATTACGCGGACCGGATGACTTAATTTTTCTAAGATTCTGCATCTCTCTTTCCAAGACAGTTGCTGACAAAAGTATAGATTCAAGTACTGGGTCAGCGTTTGAAACAGGACATTTACCACTGAGAGTATAACACTATTTTCGTAGTAAATATAAAAAGTATTGACCCAAAAGTCTAGCTTTCTCGCCATTTTCGAAAAATTCAACGTCACTGCCATCCGTAGCTACTGCAACTAGGTCTTTGCTATTGAGTCAACTGTTGACATAATGAAATAAAATCTTAGGGTATTCTCCAGCCTGCAGAAGAATTCGAGTTTCATAGTCCTTTCTCGCTCGATGGATCCACGTCCGATATCATTTCGTTGAGGACGAAATTCCCCGAGGTGCCGTTGTGAGTAATCTTCCTAGGATTTTTCCCATTTTCTCTTCTTTCTCCTTAGCTAATTGTTAGGTTATCTTGTTAACCAGGCAGATCAACCATCCGTTTTTGGTGCACTTGCTGAACAACATTCTGAAATCCGATCTAATGAAGTCGTCTTAAGGATCTCCAGTCTTTGTGTGGATTACATGTGAGCAAACGGTCTGATGTTACCGACACTAAATCATGCGTCATCATGTTAGAATCTCTCTTCTATATATCTTGTCGAATTTCCATCCACTGCTAGCGCCGATAATAGAACGCGAAATTTCATAGGGGCGTGGAATGGTCAATGTTCCCGATAGATACAGCGGAATGCATTTCGTTTATGTTACATAAGTTTTCCGCGAAAACTAGGCTAAAGGTGTTCACACTCTAAATGGCGTTGACATCTTAACAATCTAGCTAGAGGAAGGTCAAGCATGGGGTCCATTCACTTGTTATTAAAGGAAATAGGCGCACGGTCGGCCGCCGGATTATCCTGGTATATTACGTTGAAATTGTCAACTAAAAATCAAAAACCGCAGTTTGTTTCCAGTAACTTGCGATAGTGTTTGTCGGTAGGCTAGTACACCGCAGACATTAATTTTAGATATATCTGGGACAAGAGGTTTTAAGGCGGGGAGGGAAACGTAGAGGAAGTAGGCGAAGTACGTGAACAAAAACCGAATATGGAGAAGTTTCAAGCATTTGCATGAAGTAATATGCATATACTCCAGCGTTGCATATACCGCATGCACAATAGTGATTATTTAGGCATTGGTAAGCACGCGAAAAACAAACAAGACATTTCCGTTGATCTCGGATGTTCTGATATTCATCGGCCTTTGAGTTTCATGGACTGTAGTCAGTAACTCATGCGTGGTCAGTTTTTCCATCATTGACTGTCACTTCGCATTTTCCTCAAGTTCGTTTGTCACTTTAATTTAAACGGCCTTTGCCCTAGCTCCCCTACCCAGTACGCCATTTCTTTAAAACCTCCCAACTTAAGTGGCTTTGACAATAGTTTTGCTGTATTTTAATGACTGCGTCTTCCTAACTTTTCTGAGGGCATTTCTTTTAAGCTACACTAGTGTTTGGCCTGTAGGCACCATACTAAAAGAAACCCGAAGGAGGAACAACGCGATTTCGCTAGTTTGAATATGGGGTTGCGCGCTAAGGCCTTTCTGTGTATAAAGTATAAAAATATTTAAGATTGTGCAGAAGGTAGTCGATGGAATTTTCTACCGAATGCAATTCTTCTGAAGTCATAACTTAGACAAGAACAACTGAGGACGTCGCAGCACCAAGCTAATTAGCTTTAGCCAAAATACTCTTCATACTTTGCCATTTATATATAAGTCTGCATGCTTATGAGTCGCCAGGTTTCCTAATTCCTTGCTATTTATTGCCGTTCTATTGTTTTTCCAATTAATCATAGATGCTAGTTATTAGTTGCTCGGCTGCATATTCTGCGACAGCCCCAACACCAAGTTCGCTGAACCCTAGGGCGCTTCTTAAGTATCCATGCCGAGGACGAAGTTTTTATGCGATGTTCTCGATGAATCTTTCTATCAGTCGTCTTATAGAGATAGGAGAAGTGATGTATGTTTGCAGTGAAGTTTGTTCTGTTTGCTTTTTTGTGTTTTCATCTTCGACGTCCCGTTACATAGCCACATTTTTCGTTCCTCACACACCTATCAGCTAAGATAGACTGAGAGCGGATAATCGATTCATGTCGTTAGTTTTCGCAACATATTTATTTTACTGATTCCTTCTATCATTCTCATTTAAAGCCTTTACTGGTATGGAAATTTGAAACAGCACGGTTTTAAATGATTTTAGGTTTTCGTACTTATAGCTACCCTTGCCGTTTGAACAAGGTCTATTCTTTGAGACTGTGTTACTTGCTTTCCAGACTGGCATTAGCCTTACTTCCTGCCTCATTTTTTAGGCCTCCAGCAGAGAGTTAAGCAAGGCTCTCCTACGAAGTACCACCCTTTACATTGGAAACCTGTCCTTCTACACCAGAGAAGAGCAAATTTGGGAGCTATTTAGCAGGGCGGGTGAAGTAAAGCGTGTCATAATGGGCCTTCACCGCTTCGACAAAACACCCTGCGGGTTCTGTTTTGTAGAGTATGAGGACCGCGAAGGCGCAGAGATGGCAATGCGTTACATCAATCGATGTCGGCTCGACGATCGAGTTATACGGACGGACTGGGACGCGGGTTTTATCGAAGGTCGACAGTACGGTCGCGGCAGAAGTGGCGGCCAGGTAACAACCATAGATTCCATTTACATGTCATCTAATTTCCTTAAAATACTTTGAACTATCTGAGTTCAGCGAATATTCCAATGTTACAATTGAAAAGTCAATTTGACAAACACGTGTTTTCGGTAACTCTTCATCAGGCCAAAACGGTTACATAGAAGTTTAATTTATGCGAAGTTGCAGGGCTTATAAGTGATTCAGGGACTATTAACATCCATCGTTCCCACGCTGAAGAAAAGAAGGACTTATTCATAAGACTGCCCTTTCAAGGGGACGCAGCAAGTGACCTAGTAAGAAGACGTCTGAAGACAGCGATCTTTAGCGCTTTCCCCTCGGCGGACTTACGTGCATGTTTCACGAACTCTCCCCTACTACGCTTGAGAGGTAAAGACCGACTCCCGTTGCAGACCATATCGATGTGTATTTACTCATTCACTTGTTCCTGTGGAGCGGAATACATTAGCCGCACAACGAAGCGCCTGGAAAAGAGAGTACGTGAACACATACCGGTCTGGCTAGGCAGAGGTGAAAAGAAATCGATCCCGGGTTCTTTTCTCACACATCTTGTCGATATGAATCACCGAGTCGATACCAAAGAAACCTTTCAGGTTGTCTATCGGACACCAGCAAGCTTCTTCAGAGGCCTACGACAACCGGTGCTAGCTACAGCCGAGTCAGTGGCTATACGGCTCTGACATAGGCGCTCTGTCTTCTGTGGCCAACACCGACCCCAACCTCCTGATGGCAGCGGTGTGTGCACAACGTACCCGACGTACTCACAGCCTATGCCCCTTCGCCCCCTTGTCCCAATGACCACGACACGCCGACCACGCCATAGCACGCCTCGTCATGCGAGTGGCGTGGGAACGATGGATGTTAATCGTCCCTGAATCACTTATAAGCCCTGCAACTTCGCATACCTTAAACTTCTATGTAACCGTTTTGGCCTGATGAAGAGTTACCGAAAACACTTGTTTGCCAAATTGACTTTGGACTGTGTTCTCCTCTCATGTCTAATTCAATTTGATGCACATATCGATCTTGATTAAAACCCCTCAACGGCATTTACTTTAGGTACGGGATGAGTTCCGCAAAGACTACGATGTGGACAGGGGTGGTTACGGCAAAATTGTGGAGAAAATGATGCGCGATTGAGTCTGCCGTTCTTGTTATAACCTGTAAATAAATATTTATTTATCGTTCGCGTTCTATTTTTGCTGCTTATCAGTTTTTGGGAAAAAACTTCTTTTAGCATAATTGTCTACGAAAACCAAATTGCTGGCGCCTAGTGGTCCCCGGTTCATCTGAGCTAACAACAAATGTGATGATTGCACCCCTTCCACCTTCACTCTTTTCTTCTACTTCAATAGGCTTCTGTGAGTAATTATCTGAGTGGGCCATATTGATTTTGGGATAATGGCTCCTATCTTGATCCTATTTCCTCAATTGTTGCGTCCTCAGATCATTAGTACTAGCTGGCAAAGGCTTTTTTCAGTATGGCGACACACTTCCGCACATCCTGGTCCTCAGTGTTTAGATTTACCGCAACTGGAAAAGGTGTGCTTACCTGTACTTGATATAACTGTGATCATACGCAGCCTTCCGGACCTCATATCCTACTTTTCCATTCTAGGTTGTATTGGAAACGGCGGCTGTCTAGTAATTTCGTTTTGCACTCTAACCAAGTAGATGAATAAAACTGCCGACTAGTTTGTTTATGAGAGGACACTATTTCATCCACTATTGTCGTTTGGCAGGGCGGTGTAGTCAGTTTAGCCCTGGTCGGGCACTCCATTTTTGGGTTCATATTGCCCTGACCTGTAAGAACCGAGCCGATAATGGCTGAGGGAAAGCAAAAAATGTCCTCCTGTCCTACCCGTAACGGAGTTCTTAACTGTCATAAAGGGCTGCCTTCGGCGGGAAATTCGTTTTAGGACGAAGTTGCGAATTGTGTTCTTTCAGACAATCATATACTAGTGTAGGGCAGGACTCAACCGCTCAGAAGATGCACACCGCGGTGAAGTGTTCGGTCGACAGTGCTTGCATTTCATTCTCCGATTTCACCTTTCCGAACTCGTCTACAATTAACGTATATCCAGTCGGTCCCGAACAAGGCCTATTAGCTGTGCCCGCCGTACTCTCTGAGTGAGAGCTGGGCCATTTGCTGCGCCCACCTCACCATGTTCTCTATTGCTCTCCAGCTTCGCTTTCACCTCGGATATTTACACGAGAGGGCAGACCGCCGTCGCAGTGGTAATGAGGTGTGGGGGCGTCCTCCTAGGTCGTGCCCGCCTAGTTCAGATGCTGGCTGACGTACTGTTTCAGTTGAAGGTAATGTCGGGTGGTGAAGCCTTTCGGTTGATCAGCGCTTTATTAGTTTTTGATCATTTCTGATAATTAAGACAGACGGAACGCCGTGCCGGCCCATCCCCGGTATCAGATACACCCCCCGGTAGTGCTATTATTTGTACCCCGTCCGAGGTCCCCAAAAACTTCCGTTGCCTCGCTCTGCAGAACTCGTGGTTTTCATGAAATAAGCACTTGGATTTTGGATAGCCCCGAAGATTCGCAGCTCTGATTGACCTAGACTTTGCGAAGAAACCTACTGTGGTTTAGTATCACCTTTCATAGACTTGGGAAGTATGCCTACTTCCGAGCCAGTTTTTAGAAAGAAGGTCTCTCTGGGTTGATATCTGAACCAGCATGTTGAACCATTTGAAAGTAGCCGAACTCAGGCTGCAACGACACAATTCGGAGATGGTTGACACCCTAACTGAATATCATGCCTCTAATTGCGTAGTTCAGGTCTCTTTCTGACCTTTCATCATAATTGTAGGTGCCACCGCGGGCGTAGGGGTGGGAATATTTATCAGCGTCTGACGGCTCAGGACTACTCGAACGATAGCCCGTCAAAGTTCACCTTTAACAGTCAAATAATGTCAACATTATGCCATGTTAGGGCTCACAGGTTTAGATTCCGATCTGTACGTGCTGCGAGGGTCTTTACAGTTGGGGAAATAGTGCGCAGTCAGGCTCTTAACTACTAATTACTGCGTAGTTCGACACAAATCAGTATTTAGCTCGCATTCGGAGAGTTTGTTCGCAATGTTTGCAGACCAAAGTTCCCAAGTATGCCGGCAGATATAAAATACTGTTTAAGTGGTAGTTGGGTACCTGATATGGAAGATGTTACGCGACAGTCGCGTTCACCAGTCTGTCCTGATTGCACTGCAGAAGACATCTCTGTTTCGCTCTGGTGCCCCAGGTTTAGAGCCCACTCCGGCGTTTGCATGTCGATCAACAATCAAGAATCGAGAGCTTTTGCTAACAAAGACAGGAAATGAGTGCTTCTGACTTATTTGATCCGATCAGTCAGTGTTGCCTGACGCTGGAGCGCCTGAGATTTGAACCCCTGGTCAATGAGCCATTAAACGCTTAGGCCGAACGCCCATACCACTTAAGCTAAGGGCCCTCATCTTGTCGGCTGCGATCAGAAATATCCTATGTCATGAGGGTGCTGCTAACCGATTTGTTCTGACTATAGGATGAAGACTGGTTCGCGCTCGCAGTTGTGTAGTGACTAGTATTCAAACGTCGGGATGTGAAACCCCAAAGACAGATATTTTGAAGTTGCTACATGTCGACCTCCTACTTAGCATATTTCTAGCCATCTGTCCCAACAAACTTCTGAAGCAGCCTTACTTCAATTCACTGGGGGCAACCTGGTTATTTAACCCAACAAATACTACCGACGCAAATATTAAAGACTATTTAATGCTCTGTGGAGACACACACTGACGCAAAAGTGGAGGAGTTGCAGCTGCCGCATCAAATTCGTGATGTCAGGAGTGGACACCCGATATCACGCTATTTAATGTTTCATTAGGATCAGAAGATTGCCGAAACTTCCCGGACATTGTCTATCGATCACCAAGTTCGGACGAGCACTCTATCATGCTAGGGGGACATGAAAGCGAGAAATTTGTTATTTCTGAATGACTGTTATGCCCCCGAATTGATTGCAAACCTTTCACCACGGACTCTCCCATGAAATTATTCGCCAAGAAAACTACTAAAATCCTCTCAACCATAACGGCATACAATACATAACTTTCTAAACGCGACTGACAGTCGTGTGATGCCCGAATTGTCTTGATCTCGCCCTACTACAGTAGAAGGAGCAGTAGGGCAGATGAACTCGCATCCAACCTGCAGGTTAGGTGATAATGTCGCGATAGCATTTGGGTGTGATCTCACTTATATGCACCTAGCCCATATCTGCGGACTGGCGGGAATGTCTGTAAAGGTGACCTAGACGCCATGAGACCGTTAGCTCCGATCGGAATTAGGCCAGTTGAGGACAGCAATGTTGAAACCTCTTGTCAGCACCTCTGGTGGTATTCAGAGCCCCTGACTAAAGGCTATGAAAATAACTACACCGGCTTCTCAATAAATGCGTGTGCGAGCTAAAACGATGATAAAAAAGGGGCAGTCAAGGTCTGTGAAGGGAGTGCATGGAGGTTCAAGTCCTGTCTACAAGAAACGACGGGCGGAAGAGGGCGATGTCACGGTTCCATAGCAGTTGTCAGAGCTCCTTTTGAGCTTCATCTAACAAGAGAGGCCACTCTACATCTGTGGAGGGTTTATAGATGCATCCAAAGCAGAGGGCGGGACGGAGACGAGGATAGCACCAGACAAACGGTCTCAGATGGATCACAGAAATTGAAAATCTTGCCTGAGTTTTTTAAATTAGTCTTTACGACTGACCTCCTTCACGATACTCCAGTTTTGGACCGTAGAGGCCACTGCCATCATCTAAACGACTCCAATTCCTTTGGTGGGTGTGAGTCTGGTTTTCGGTCGAATTAAACCGGGTAGTCCTCTTGGACTGACTGGTCCTTGTCTATTTCCCTTTGAGCGGGTCACTTGTCTTCCTAGTCGAAAACCGCCAACTAATTTCCCCTAAATGAGGGAGGCAGTTATTTGGCTGAAAGCAATTTCTGACTCCTTGACATGACCTGACTCTGGTGTAAGTCAGTGGATGTTCTATTTAAAAATGCTTTATTACAGTTCTTTGATGGAAGCATCCTACTACTGCATAATTTTCAATACACTCTTCTTCGAAGAAGTTCGTATCTCCCAAATATTTCGATCGCTTTGGAAGTCAGAGCAAAGGCATCAGAGGATAGCGTCGATGTAACTAATGCGTGTATCGATTTGCACCGACGCCAATAGCAGTCTGAACGATGCCAGCTGGAGTTCGCCATCCAAAATTGCACGATTATTTATCTGCATCCAACAAAATAATCAGACCAGCACGAGGCCCTATTTTCTGTGTGGCGGTCGACGTCCTGCAATATATGTGCGTTTGGAATCAAAATAATTCGGAACCTGCTCCTCAAAACGTCAAAGGCGCGGAGGAGACCAATGACGACAATCCAGGCATCGCCAACGACGACTCCTGCCGCGTGCCCCACAGAATGGGCACAACACACCAGTGACTGGCGCGTGAGTTAGTTCACAGTGACGCAGGCTTGCGCAACGTCTGCTTTAAGCTCACTTCTCCCATCCACCTGACCCGGTTGCAAGACGATGTCAGGACGACCGAAGGTGAGCGTGGACGCAGTGGCTGACCGAGACAGACAACCTATCTACACGGGCCACACGCAACCTGGCCCCCACTGCACGTATTAGACCGTAATGGGGGCTACGCGCGTCCCATTAATTGGCAATTATCGCAGCCCGAGAATGGCCAAGTTATCTCGTCAGTTGGCTGCCTTCCAAGCCACGAGTCTTTGCGTGACGTGATAAATTCAGGCGAGTTGCATTAATTATTAGTGAGGAATGTGCTGATTTGCGGCGGGATGACCCCCCCCCCCACCCAGTCTGGGCCTCTCTTCCTTCCCCATGCACCAGTTGGCCGTCCAAACCTATCAACCAGCTGATGATGGGATTGGACGTGGTTGTTGACGCGGCATGAAGGTCAGCGTCCAAGGCGTGTCGCACGCGTATGCTCGGCAGTAGTTATGAGCTTGTGTGGATTCCGCACTGCCGGATAAATGCATGTAGTGGGCCGGTCGCATCTGCGGCGCAGTCTATTGTGGGAACCATGCACTTTAAAAGGATATTCCTAGTCATAGACCCTGATATATGCA